ACACGAAAGCACGCACGCATGTGTGCGCGCGCACACACACACCATACAAACGGATGCACGTACACAAACACATCATACACATGTACGCACGAACGCACACAGGCACACAGACATAGAGTGGAGGAGTTGCATGAAACAGTAATTACTGGATTCACAAATATGACAGGACACTACTGGCAGAGAAAATAATTAATTTGTATTGATCCACACACACATACAAGCATAGTTCGTATAACAGTATGATTTGGGATAGGAAGGCAATGCAGCGGATTGAGTGATGCCCAACCCCTACCAGAAACGCATAACAAGCGATAATATCCTGTGACACAAACTGTCACCATTCGGATGAGAATCCCTGAAGTGCAAGTCCTAGAAACCCTCTTTAACCATTACGTTATATTAGGGACCCCGGGGGAAAATAACCACACACACACACCACACACACACCACATACACACCACACATACACACACATACCACACACACACACCCACACACACACGCACCCACACACACACATACACAAAATGTGTCCCATATTGGGACGGAGCTATGATTAGAGTAAGTAATGCAGCTGATGAGATAAAGTGTTCAGTCTGACTGGATGGAATACAAGAAGCTTACGTAACAACGTTATAGGACATTTTAAAAAAGTAAGTAGTTTATACTCTAACCATCTCTAACCGTCCCGCCTTTATATGATATTTAGCTGGTTATTGACTTATGGTAGCTAATGGGTTGAACTTTTTTTTCAGGCTGAGGTCAGGAATGCCCAGATTAGGGCCTTTAACCCAACTTACGACTACAGCCAAGCAAGAATTCTGGTGGGTGTTACGGAAATGGGAAAGCCGATAACCTCCCCGTGCTCTACCGACGTTACAAAAATTGATATTCTTAACTCACGCAGCACCCCATATGATGAAAACACAATGAAAAGTAAGCCTTTATCATCAGTATATTTAAGACATCACCATTTTTATCACTGTCATTTGCATGATCACGATAAAAACTTCAATCCGGTTATGTATTTTTTTCTTAAATAACAGAAACAAATCATAGAAACCGTTTTCATAAACGTCATACACAGAATTGTTGGAAAAGTACTTCAGAAATGTCGATCCTTTTCTACGGAGTCCTGCCCAAACATAGCGTAAATGGGCTTTCATTCAGGCTGGCCTAGATCAGAGTGGTGTCATGTCTTTTCTCCATTTACATCAGCGCCGATGTCGCGTGTTCCATACTGCACGACGACACAGCTTTTAACGAACTCAGAACATCTAGAACTGGAACTAACTAAAATCTCACTACCAACATCTAAGCCTAGGTCCAACGAGAGAGTTTTTTTTTGTTTTTTTCGAAGAAAACATTCCAACGTGACACCTCTGACGTAGACCAGCCTCAGAAAGCGTGAATAAAAGCTCAACCGGTGTGTAGTTAGGCCTGACTGTAAAAAATACCACAATCTCTTAAGAAGACGACAACATATCGGCGACCTGGTCGTCGACTGGCTGGCCAGTAGACGACTTAGTCGTCGGTCGAGAGAGACAGTGTATATGCATCTGTCTCTACTGATCGCATCAACACTGCAAGGGTCCTTTTCAGGGCTACTCAGTGGCGAGCAATGCTAAGTTATTTTATGTGGCAACTAAAACCTGGTAACAGTTAGAAACAAAATCCCCCCCCCCCCCCCTGCTGACCGTGACGACTGTCAAGGCGACAGCTATAAAGTAACTTGCAGCTTATAAGTCGAGTTTTCACACCCTACGCCCCACGCCTCACCCTCCCCCCCCCCCCCCCCCCCCCCCACCGGCCGACAGTGACGACTGTCTAGGCGAAAGCTATAAAGTATCTTGCAGCTTATAGGTCGAGTTTTCAAACCTACGCCTCACCCCCCCCCCCTTCCCTACCTGCTGACAGTGACGACTGTCAAGGCGACAGCTATAAAGTAACTTGCAGCTTATAAGTCGAGTTTTCACACGCCTACGACCCCTCACCCCTCCCCCCCCCTCCCCCCTCCCCCTTGCTAACAGTGACGACTGTCAAGGCGACAGCTATAAAGTAAACTTGTAGCTTAATAAGTCGAGTTTTCACACCTACGCCTCACCCCCCCCCCCCCACCCCACCGGCTGACAGTGACGACTTTCAAGGCGACAGCTATAAAGCAACTTGCAGCTTATAAGTCGAGTTTTCACACCTACGCCTCACCCCCCCCCCCCCCCCCCCAAAACCGACTGACAGTGACGACTGTCAAGGCGACAGCTATAAAGTAACTTGCAGCTTATAAGTCGAGTTTTCACACCTACGCCTAACCCCCCCCCCCCCCCCCCCAAAGCGACTGACAGTGACGACTGTCAAGGCGACAGCTATAAAGTAACTTGCAGCTATTAAGTCGAGTTTTCACACCAACGCCTCACCCCCCCCCCCCACCCCCCCCCCCCCCCCCCCCCCGATCGGCTTACAGTGATGACTGTCAAGGCGACAGCTATAAAGTAACTTGCAGCTTATAAGTCGAGGTCTCACACCTACGCCTCACCCCTTCCCCCCCCCTCCCCCTCCCCACCTGCTAACAGTGACGACTGTCAAGGCGACAGCTATAAAGTAACTTGTAGCTTATAAGTCGAGTTTTCACACCTACGCCTCACCCCCCCCCCACCTGCTGACCGTGACGACTGTCAAGGCGACAGCTATAAAGTAACTTGCAGCTTATAAGTCGAGTTTTCACACCTACGCCTCACCCCCCCCCCCCCCACCGACTGACAGTGACGACTGTCAAGGCGACAGCTATCAAGTAACTTGCAGCTTATAAGTCGAGTTTTCACACCAACCCCCCCCCCCCCCCCCCCCCCCCCCACCTACTGACCGTGACGACTGTCAAGGCGACAGCTATAAAGTAACTTGCAGCTTATAAGTCGAGTTTTCAAATCTACGCCAAATTGTGCGCATGTGACATCAGTCTGCGTTTAGCACTCGTTCCAGTAGTATCGTAGTGTCGCTTGTGATCACACGTTTTCTCAAGCTTGTGTTACATTGTGTTATATGTACATGAATCCTCCAGGCCTTCAAGATGACCTCTCTGAAGAATTTAAGTTCATCAAGATCCAGTTTCTGCCTCCCAACACCACACTGTTACTCCAGCCTATGGACCAGCAAGTTATTTCTAACTTTAAGAAGCTCTACACTAAAGCACTCTTCGAGCATTGGTTTCAGGTGACTGAAGGGACCAACCTCGCTCTCAAAGAGTTTTGGAAAAATCACTTCCACATCATTGCCTGCCTCAAGATGATCTACAAGGCGGGGGAAGGGGTTACCAGGAGAACCCTAGCTTCTGCTTGGCAGAAGCTTCGGCCGGAGAGCGTTGTCGATTTGTGACTTTGAGGGGTTCGAGACGTACGTGTGGAACCTGTAGTCAACGTGATTGTGTCTTTGGCTACTATCATCGGATTATAGGTGGATAACAGTGATATCGAAGAGCTTGTGGAAGAGCAAAGCCAGGAGCTGACCACCCAAGAGCTTATCGAGTTGCATTGTGTTTCACAGCAAGAGGTTTTGGAGGAAAGTTTGTCAAATGAGGAGGGGGAGGATGTAACAGAAAAGCGCAATCTTCTGGCGAAATAAGATAAATGCTGAAAGCATGGCAAACTGTTGCATCTTACATTGAGAAGCATCACCCTAATAGGGAAATGGCTATGCCCGTTGCAAATATATTTAATGATAATGCTGTGTCTCACTTTCGCCAAATTTTGAAGCGTCGGCAGAAACAAATGTCTCTGGACATCTTTCTAGTTTAAAAAAAAAATGAATTAGCTATGTATCATAATTATTTCGCCTTAAAAATTTTTTTTTCTGCAAATCAATTTCAAATTCTAGTGGGTTCGTTTCGCGTTTGAAGAAAAGATGAAGATGATTCACTCTCCTTAACTATATGCATATAATTTTCTTTGAATAAACCTTATACATAGCATTTTGTGAGTAATTTTTTTCGACATGGAACGCATTATAGTATTTTACATTAATTTATATGAGACAAATTGTTTCACATAACGAGTGTTTCGCTTAACGAGTATGATTCTGGAACGAATTATGCTCGTTAAGCTAGGTTCCACTGTATTGCAGTTAGTTTTTCTATAAACAGGTAAATAATGTGACCTGATGTTGATTTGGCACGAGTTATTGTCTCTAGCTTTGGCACAGGATGTTGTTTCCTGTCGCCTGACTTTATTTACCAGCAGATCTAAGGTTTGGGTCACTTATAACCAACTGTATGTCGTAGGGTCTACATATACGTAAAGTAAAGGCCTAAATAGAATTCTGAGCTAGAAACTGTGAGGTAGGCCAGATCGATTTATACACCGCAATTTTACGATAAAAGAACTGAGTATTCTTTTGATATATTCTATTTAGTGTGATTTCTTATTTATTCATTATCCTGTTTTGCTATTATATGTCGCATAGGACTCGCAGTCTATTCCTCAACTCCGTCCTATCATGTACAATCAGTTCAATATCACGGACGGATTTCAATTCAGCAGCTGTAGGCTCTTTCATAAACGTTCGTCTTGGGCTTTCTTTTAGACGTCCTCGCCTCCTGTATTCTCTAATGCATGTAAAAAATTCATAAACTAATTTTAGAACTAAAGGTGAAGCAGTAGGAGTATATGCCTAGTTGCACATTCTCAGCATACCAGTACTCCAAAGTTTGAGATGATTAGCCAGAAGACCGTTTTGCGTTGACTTTAACTATGGTATGAAAGTAGTTCTGTTTAACAAAAGAACAATGGCAAACTACTGATGTAAATCTGCTTAGTAAAACGCAAAATAGCCAACAAATGCTGAATTTGTTTTGTTAAAACCTGAAAAAGTTAAGCGGCTGTGTTATGTAAATTAAACAGTATTTTGTTCCCACGACAAAATAATAGCTAAAGTGATTTTTCATTGAACAAAACTAATGATTACAAATAATGATTTTTTGTATTTGTATTATTAACATTGTCTCTTCACAGATCTGACGCAAAGTTTGCATAAAGGTTGCCTACGCACAAATGCTCGTGTTAATTTCGATACGGAAAACCTCGATGGCCCAAATGCGTCGTCTTGCAGGCTGCTCTGCGCCCAGAAGGGGAAACTGTTCTCCCTCTTACAAAAAGAGGTCTCTTGTGCTTGTACCAATGAGATCAACTTGAAAGATCTCTCGCAGGCCGACTGTACGGATAGATGGCGTGTGTATGCCGTTAGTCACATACAGACCAAGAACGATTACAAACTGAATCTTGACTACATCCTACAGAGTAAGAACCCGTACACTAAACCAGACGAAGACATCATGTTTAACGCCGCCATAGACTACAATCTGTACAATGTCTACAAATTTGAATTTGATGATGACGTAGTCGTACTGACAACAGACCCACCCGTGAGTCACAGCTGGGCCATCGCAGGAAAACACAACGTCACAGTTTCAACGCAGATTGGTATTGTGACACTTGTAAATACAACACAGGTGACAGTTGAGGATGTTGATGAAGGCAAAGCGCCCGCACTCCTTGGTGTTGCGGTATCACATCACCCTAATGCCTTGACAGCTCAGGTGTTGATAATGGTAGTGGATGCATACGAAACCAGCTGTGTCGTGTCGTTTGGCGATGGACAAGAATCCGCTGTATACGTATTTAATAACTCAGCTGATGGCTATACGGTTGTACACGAGTATCGGGTCTGCGGCTTTTACAGGATGCATATCAGATGCGCAAACAGGTACGGAAACACAACAGCTGATCATTCCTTCTGGGCAAGAGAGATGGAGACAGGATACCATTACATTTCTAACCAGGAGAATTTCAATGTATCAGTTCTTGGCGACCATATCTTTTTTAGATCTTTGTCAGTTACGGTCAACGAGATAAATGTAGAATTTGATCTTGATGTTGCTGCGGTCAAGATCAGAAGAAGCAGCTTTGCGGCTGGTGTGGACAATGTAATTTGTCTCGTCTCTGATGGAGTATTGATGGACCGCCACGTTGTGTTGGTCAGGGTTCGTGTAGACACGCCTCTAATCACTGCTGACAAAACTAAAGGTGCCTGGAATGCAACCGTACGACTAACCTTCACACTGCAGACCTCAGACCATATCTGGATGATCATTGGCTATGGAAATGGTTGGCCTAGGAAAGTCGTCTACGTTCCAGAGACAGACAAGCAACTGTCCATCCCCGATGTGGCTTCATATGTAAGCTTAGGGGTGTATACCGTGAACGTAAAGGTGTTTAACGAGATTAGCGAGGCAAGCAGCACTATGGAAATCTCTGTAGAAGTTCCTATTTCCAGTTTAACGGTGACCACAAGCAATTTAACGTCCCTCAAGGAAGATGCCGTATTTGTGATTAACCTCAACAACAAACGTCAAGGACCGCAGAAAGTCGACTTTCGCATCGATTATGGTGATGGCAGCATACAAGAGATAACGTACACAAACAACGTTACAAATGGTTTCGAGCCGTTGGTTGTGAAACATAAATATACAACATGGGGGATCTATAGGATAAAAGTGACTGCAAGCAACAATATCTCCCAGATGGTGGACAACGATCTGATTCATGTTGGTGAGAACATAACGTTTCTAGATATTCGTACAACCAAAGAGCGAGTCTACTATGGAGGCTCAATAGATTTTACAATTGACTGTCCTACAGGATCTGATGTCCGATTTACGGTAGACTTTGGTGATGGCACAAACTTTACGGTAGGTGAGCTTACCGGTGCAGACTTTTCTTATCACAGCAACGCTAGCGTCATTGGGGATAGCAGAGTTGTGGTTTCTCACATGTTTTCCTCGAGCGGTTATTACAGCGTCCGTGTCATCGCCTCAAATACTTTCGGCAGCATGACAGCGAGTTTATGTCCAACAATCTGTGTCATGGAGTTGATGAGCACTGATTGCCAGGAACCTACAGTTTCCTTTAGAAACATCAACACGTCTTTGACCAGCCCTTTAGTGAGGAAGAGATCAGTGGAGACTGTTGTTACTGTAGATGCCATCTCAGGTTGCCCAGAAGGTAGTGAAAACACAGAATTGACCTACTCGTGGAAAGGAATTTCTCTTGTCAGTCGAGACAAAGATATTACAGTCGAACGAAGCATTTACACTTTCTGCGCCTTCAAATCTACGAACAGTTCTCTTGTAATCCCCGCTTTAAGCTTGCCGTTTGGGCTATACAAGCTTTCAGTAACCGTATCCCCAGAGAGCAATGACCTGGTCTATACAAGAAAAGAGTTGTTCGTCAAGATTGTACAGTCTGAACCTATCCCGGCTATCGACGGTGAAGAAGTTAGGACAATTATGACTTACGCAACGGCCATTTTTGATATTTCCAAGTCTTATGATCCCGATGTTACTGAAAATCAACGCCAGGGAATTTCTTTCCACCTGTTCTTTATGCCAGAAACTGTTTTATCAGAGGCAAAGAAACTATCTCTGAACATGCTAATGAATAGATCCAGTCTTGTTGCCAACAAAACCCTTTACCCGATCACCACAGGCAATCCATTTTTCATGTACCAGTACGGAACCTGTTTCAATGGCACCGATAGCTTGTTAGATGACCTCTCGACATTTGCAGGCAAGATCACGTTTGCTGCTTCGAACTTTGTCACCGATTACTTCTCTTTCGGCGTCATTCTGTGGGCCGAACGAAACAACCTTAGCGCTATGGCAACGCAGATAATTGAAGTTCGAGAGAGTTTCATGAGACTCGAAGACCTTGGCGCTCTTCTTGACCTCGCTATGAATGCCGATCCTGATACGGCTATAAGATTGTGTGGTGGAGCTGCTAGTGCTATCCTAACGCAAGACGTAAGTCTGCTCACTCTTATTCAATGAAATTATGGTGTGCTTCCACAAAGAAAAAGTTCATATTTGCTGAAGTTGTAACCATTCACATTTGACAGGTCGCAAATTGATTGTTACAAATACTCAAGTAGAAATCAAGGTTTTTTTTTTTTTTTTAAATTTTGATGTTACATAAATATTCTTGGAGAATGATGGAACAAGAAGTATAAGATACTGCCATTATACACGATGGTTTATGGTTTATACAACAGATCAACATCGTAGCACAACCGTAGTAACTCATAAGTGCTCCGTTCTACTCATAACCTAAGCCCGAGTCCGAAGAATCTCAGCGCAGTGCACGAATTCCGTAGCACCAGCGAGGATCCTGATATACGTTGGTACATTTTTAAAGTCTAAATTTTACCCCGGAAGCGCCTTTAGGCTACTCTTTTCCGTTTCCAGATGCCAGTTTTTGTTTACGTGAGCAGCAACACACACAGGCGTCTGATCTTACTACCCAATGGACCAGGGCAAATTACTAGAAGTCCACGTAAAAATCCCAGCATTCACCGAGGCCTGAACACGGGACCTCTAGCACTCAAGACGGACTCCATGCCTCGAGGCAAATCACCCCCCCCCCCTCTCTCTCTCTCTTTCCCATACACGATCAGAACTTTGAGGTACCGGACTCTTTATTAGTACTACGCGCCGTAAGCTGAAACGCACACACTGGCTCAAAAAAAAAAAATTTTTTTTAAATGCTGCTTTTAAAAATAGTCAGCCAGCAGAAGAGAAGATTCGATAAATCAAAGATATTTTAACATGAAAATGCATGAGACAGGGGAGAGGGAGAGAGTAACAGGGAGTCACGACAAAGAGGGACGACCCTGGTGTCACAATGAATTATATTTAAGAAAGCATTGTGTTGTAGTTGATAATGTATCCGCCTTTATATGCAAAGCAGTATTAGATCTACGCTACCTTTTTTTTTCCATACATTTTATTACCTCATTTCAAATTATATCTCTTCTGGTCACTCTGTAAAAGACAAACTTATATGTCGGCGATGAAAAGGAAAGTTTTCCGAAGAGCTGACCTGGGTGTTCTACGGGTCTTTGGCAAGCTTCTTAAATTTCACCTTTCACCTCTCCGAAGAGCTGACCTGGGTGTTCTATGGGTCTTTGGCAAGCTTCTTAAATTTCACTTTTCACCTCTCCGAAGAGCTGACCTGGGTGTTCTACGGGTCCCTGGGCAAGCTTCTTAAATTTCACTTTTCACCTCTCCGAAGAGCTGACCAGGGTTTTCTACGGGTCTTTGGCAAGCTTCTTAAATTTCAATTTTCACCTCTCCGAAGAGAAGTTAGCCAACCTTGACACTGCTGGCTGCAGTGCCCACTCTTACAACAATTAAGAGTTTGAACATATTATTTTACCAGGTAAATGTGTGTGCATTGCTTTGAACAAAAAATGATGTCTGTTATAAAAAGATAAATAAATGTTATAATACACACATAAATAATACACACATACATACTGGCATGCATACACACATGCACAAACAGACACACCTTCCCACACAGAATACCCACAGAAATTCATCCAAAAACAAACACCCACACAAACAAACATACTCACAGACACACACAAAAACAAACACACACAGACACACACAGACATACACACATACACATACATACCCACAGACACACGCGCAGACGTACACACAGACACACACGCACGGACACACTCGCGCAGACACACATACACATATAGTCAAACACACACACAGACACACTTAAAGACAAACACACACAGCCACACACACAGCCACACATACATATACACGCAGACATATACATACAGACACACACGCACAGACACACACACATGCAGACACGTACGCAGAGACACACACAAACAAACACGCACACACACGCAGACACACAGAGACAAACACACATTTACAAACAGACATATACACACAGACATACGCACAGACATACACACAGAGACACATACACAGACACACACACACAAAGGCACACACACACCTAGACAGGCACACAAGCAGACACACGGGCAGATAACACACACAGACATATGCACACAGACATACACACAAAGACACACACACGCAGACACACATGAAGACAAACACACAGAGACATATACACACAAACATATACACACAGACGCACACAGATACACACCACACACAGACACTCACGCAGAGACATACACGGACAAACAGAGACCATCCACACACATATATACACAACAAAGATACACACATACGCCCTCACAGGCACATTTGTAGACACAAACAGACACATACACGTAAACACACAGACACATACATACAGACACACACACCTATTGAGACTTACACAGTCACATACATACAGACACACACACACACACACACACATACAGACTCACACACAGCCGCACACGCAAATAAACAGACACATACGCACACAGACACGCAATGACACACACAACAACTTTAATTATAAATTAATAATGCAGTGTGCAATATTAACTACATTTACGGTGGCATGTAATCACTTCTGAGCATGAATTGAAACAGTTTGTGGTTAAATGAATAGGAACTCTGTAATTTTCAGATCAAGTGGAAGATGGTTCCATAAATGAGCGGCAGATATGCTAAACTAGTTTTATATAAATCTATTCTAGGTTTAGGCAAGTGTAATAAACTTAGTTGCTTGCTATTTGTAGGTTATGATTTAGTCAACTAGAAAAAGTAGTTTAGAGTATTCAGAGATAGGATCTTCTGAATGAATCTGGCCTTGTGAAAAATTTAACGTTTTCTAAAACGTAATTTATATCAGTGCCTATGCGTAAGGTCTTATTTTTTTTAGAGAGCACAGCCGTTTGACGTTCGCTTCGGAACAACTATCCCAAATTGGGGGAAAAAAATATGCGATTGGATATAGAGGGCGTACACTATTTTACGTGTATTTCGTCTAGAAAGTGCTGAATTTTGCCAAGTTCATAAACTTTTAGCGCTTTTTTGAACACGGCTTTTAATGTTTGTAGCGTTTGCCTAACTCTTTACAATTATCATGACTAGTATATATTGTACAGTCGTCAGCAAATAGATCACATGTTATACTGAGATGTTATAAAAGGTCATAAATATAAATAAGTGACAAAAAGTTGTGGACACAATATTGAGCCCTGAGTGACGCCTATATTAATCTGTGTGAGTTTTGAATAACGGTTGCTGAAGGACACCACCTGCTGTTTATCAGACAAAAATGACTTCATTAATATCAATAAATGCCGTTAGTTTTTAAGGTTTTTAATTTACTACTTAAAATAATGCGATCAACCATATAAAGGGCTTTCCTATAGTCAACAAATTCTTCACTGCAAATAGTGCTATTGTTGATGTTAAGGTGCCAGTTGTCTGTCATTTTTTGTCAACGCATTATGACAGAAGTGTTAAGAACTGAACCCTGACTGGCTATCAACTGTTAGACTGTTGTTATTTAAATGCTGAAACATTATTTTATGTATGCGTTTCTCTAATAGTTTACATAGTGAGGATGGAGGAGAAATGGGTCTATAGTTGCCCAGAGAACTGTTGTCAGCTGAACCAGGTTTAAGTAAAGGATAAACTTTAGCCATTTTAAACACTGATGGAAAGTAGTTCTTTGCAAGGCACTCAATATATATATATATGGACGTTAAGGACTCGCTAATGACGGGTGCAGCACATCGAAGAATTCGATTTTTTATTTCGTCCAAGCCTTAGGAGTCTATCTGATTCAGGGTGGACAGACAGAGACAGGCGGGCAGACAGGCAGGCAGACATACGGACAGACAGACAGACAGACAGACAGACAGACAGACAGACAGACAGACAGACAGACAGACAGACAGACAGACAGACAGACAGACAGACAGACAGACAGACAGACAGACAGACAGACAGACAGACAGACAGACAGACAGACAGACAGACAGACAGACAGACAGACAGACAGACAGACAGACAGACAGACAGACAGACATTGTGATAAGTTTTCCTAAGTGGCTGCTAACTGTGTTCCAATTAATAATTTATGTCTTCAACATTCACCAGACTTCATCAGCTGAAGTTCAAGAAAAGCTAGCACATGTAAGTGCTTTATTTTATGTATAAAATTGAGTTAATATTTAGGCGTATTATTAAAAATAATGCAATCATATGACAACTACGGACCACAAATGTAAGGAACTGATACTCTACTACCACAACTGTTACTTTCGCCAGAGCTTTCTATTTATAGAAAAATGTGCCCGTATTCACCCCAAGATGTGTATTACAGTAGTGATGACAAACATAATGCCTACAAGGTGCCGGTACTGTGTACCTTGAGAAAAAATACTCTGTTCCTACAATTACTGCTATAACTGCCACTAATACTGCCACTATAAACGCTACTAATACTGCTACTAATATTACTACTACTGCTGCTAGAGTTACAACAATTGCTAGTGATATTGCTACTATTACGGCTACTGCGCATGCCACCTGTGACACTACTACCACCACCACTACTATTACTATAAATATTGCCACTAAGATACTGCGATCACTGCTAATACTATTACTGCTTCTGCCACTAATACTGCCACTACTACCGTTACTACCACCACCACACTACTACTACGGCTACTAATACTGTTACTACTACTGCTACTGCTATTTTTTCTGCTGCTACGACCACTTCTACTACTGCTACCACCACTACTTGCTGAGGTACAATATATATCCCTCATTTCTGTGTTATGTAATCCCATGCCGTCTCTAGAGATGACCATGTGTGTAATCCCACACTTCTTTGTTACTTCTAGTCGACAGAAGCTGTAGTGAAAACACTGGGATCTGTGGCTGGCAGAATCGACAGCCCAAACCAGGCCGCCAAATGTGCCTCTGCCATTAAAACGATGACCAGCAACAAAGACATTGTCACTGAGGGATCGCGGGTTTGTTTGTTTTTAATCGAAAAA